CGGAGGTCAGAGGTTCGACCGCCGGCCTGCAGCCCGGAGGGGAAGCAACACGAAGACGACATGCATAAAGGGGCGGCTGTTAGCGAAATAAATGGCGAAATAAAGGGACGAAGAAGATTGAGATAGTGGAAGACCCGAGCAGCGGGTTCGTATTTATCTAACGGGAGAGAAATTAGCGAAAAGGAGAGTGAGGTGAAGTGTTGTGGAGTGGAGGGAGGATTTCACACTTTCACATCACCGGGTGATGGTGTTGCAGGATGTGTGACAGGTGCTGAGGGAGAGAGAAGTGTCGAGGGAAAACCTGAAGCACAACCTCAGGTATTCATTTCAATCCCGAATGCTCCCCGTTTTCTCAAAGAAACGTCCAATTTATCAAAAGTTTAAAAGTTGACAGACGTCTTTTTCAATTAAGTCAAACAAACGATAATAAACCACATAAAAAAAATACTTGAAATAAAATCAAATATCTAAAATTATCCTAACACAGAGTACACTTAAAAAACCGTTTAGTTATGGTAACAACCTATATATATATGTGTCTTTGTGTGTAGCTCTACCATCTCTTCATTATAATTATATTATTCCTATTTATTGTAACATTTTTCCTATCTAGTTTTTTGTCCTAATATCTGGATGAAAGCACATATTTAAAAATATATCATAGAAAATTTCTATAACTCATTTCCCTCAGTCTCAGTTTCCCTCTTTAATACTGTCTCACAGTCTTGCTCTGATTAACCCAGGATTATGTTTAATCTTGTCTGTAAGTGAAATCTAATATAACCTATTACCTTACCGTATGTCTTCTAGGTAACATTAAACCACTTTAACTCAGTTTATTTTCATTGCTTCCAATTGTTTTTCCAACCAACTAGTGATCAGTAATCCTTAACGCTTTCTGAAGTAACTCTGATAACTTATTAATTCAGACATGAAGAAGCTTTTAAAGTCGGTGTTGGAAGCTGTTTTTCAATCTGTCCTGCAAAAATTACTTTCAGGTTCAGTTTTTTTTTTTTTTTTTTTTTTTTAATTGGTTTGGATTTTGGGCCTCTTTTTCCTTTTTTTTTCCTTTTTTTTTCCCTTTTTCTTTTTAGAAAA